CTGAGACCACAAAGCTAGTAAACAGTAGAACTAGGTTTTGAACCCAGGCAGTATTCTGTTTCAATTTAATGAAGTTTGTACTTGTTGACAAGATCAAATGTATTATTTATTATTTACCTGTGTCTTCTTCTAACAACTCTTTAGTAAAAAATAGGAAAAACCATCAAGGTGCTAGAGATTGCCAAAGCAAAGCAGTTCAGTCTTTGATCATTGGGACAAACTGTAATTCCCCTGAATGCATATGTCAGTTATGTTTTCTGCACAGAAATTCCAGATTTGGACCCTCAGTGCTCTCAGAGATCAGTGGTGTGTAGAGAACAGTAATACAGTCTACAATCTATGTTGATTGATTGTTGTTTTTTCTAATCTTGTTTGAAATAGTTTTCTTCATATTTTAATAGGTAATAAAAGTCAGAAACATGTTCTCAGACCTGAATCTCTTGAAGGCACAGATGAAGAGGATCCAGTTACAGCCCTGGAATGGGACCCACTGTCTACCGATTACCTTCTTGTGGCTAATTTGCATTATGGAATTCGCCTAGTTGATTCTGAATCACTTTATTGCATTACAACATTCAGTTTTCCCAGTGCAGCAGCTTCTGTACAATGCTTGGCCTGGGTTCCCAGTGCTCCTGGGATGTTTGTAACTGGAGGTAAGTTTCCCCTCATTCCCCAGACTGTTAAATGTGTGTGTGTTATTTATCTGAATCTGAGAAATTAGAGCCTTTTACTAATTTTGTGCAAAATTTAATATACAAATATTATTTATGATAGTACATCCTATGTTTACTTTCATTTGTACTGTATATCATTAACTAGTGACAAATAAAAATGAAATTAAGGCCTCTTATTCCAGGTTTCTGGAAAAACATTGGAATACATTGTATATAGGTACACATGTGAGAGTGTGTGTGTGTGTCTGTGTGTGTGTGTGTGTGCATGTGCACCTGTATGTACAAAAGACATCAGTTTCAGGCATGACAGGATGACAGTGAAGGTAATGACCAAAAGTTTAACTGGATGGGAGATGTATTAACTTCACTAACAATTTTGACCGTCAATGACCAGGTATACTTAATTAGACCCAGGTTGAAAATGAAAATGGGCTTTGTCAGCATGGATGGAAAGAATGTTTTCCTAGTCATGTTTCCTAATCATGAGAGAAGTAGCAAATTTAAGGCATGATGGGAGATGGGAACGTGGGAGAATTTAGGAATTGTATTCTGAAATTAAATGATCTTTAAACTTTTATCATTCACTTAGATTCAGAGATAAAGTCCTCTGAAGAAACAGAGCACTTTAGGGTACTGTATAAATATTTCCCTTATTTGCTTCGTATGAAACAATAGACAAATGCGCTTTATCCTCTCAACGTTTTCTCGAAAGTTCTTTACCTCTTTAGTACTGACGTGTGGCAGTAGATGGGTTCTTAATTTACAGATTGGCCTTCAGTTTCGCAGGATATCTTTAATGATTGTTGTTGTTAGTTGCTGTGGAGGCGATTCTGACTCACGGCGACCCCAAGTGTGCAGAGTAGAACTGCTTCGTAGGGTTTTCAAGGCTGTGACCTTTTGGAAGCAGACTGGAAGCCTGTCTTTTGAGGTGCCTCTGGGTGGGTTCGAACCACCAACCTTTTGGTTAGTAGTCCAGCGCTTAACCATTTTTGCCACCCAGGGACTTCGTTTCGTTCATGATAGGCCTGAAAATTTTAAAATATTTGAAATTGTTTTTTATTGAGATATGATTCACGTACCATAAAATCCAGCCTTTTAAACTGTACAATTCAGTGGATTTTAGTATATTCACTAAGTTGTACAGCCGTCACCACTATCTAATTCCAGAACATTTCATGAGTTATGTAACTAAACCCCCCCCAAATAAAAACCTTACCCATAGCAGTCACACCCCATTTCCCCCCTTCCCACAGCCCCTGGCAACTTCTAATATACTTTCTGTCTCTGTAGATTTGCCTTTGTGGACACTTAATAAGAATTATATAATATGTGGCCTTTTTTAGCTGGTTTCTTTCACTTAGCAGAATGTTTTCAGGGTTCATCCATGTTATAGCATATATCAATGCTTAATTCCTTTTATGGTTGAATAATATCCTATTGTATAGATGTACCACATTTGTGTAGCTGTTCATTCATCGATGAACATTTGGCTCGTTTATACTTTCTTGCTATTATGAGTAATGCCATTATGGATGCTTGTCTAAGTACTTGTGTGGATATATATTCTCAGTTTCCTTGGGTATATACCTAGGAATGAAATTGCTGGGTCATATGGTAACTGGTTGCCTATAAGTCGGAATCTATTTGATGGCAACTGGTGTTTTGTTTTTATGGTAACTCTATGTTTAACTTTTCAAGAAACTGCCAGACTCTTTTCAAAAGCAGCTGCATCGTTTTACATTCCTACTGGCAATGTTTGAGGGTTTCAGTTTCTCCACATCTTCGTCAACACCTCTTACTGCCTGTCTTTTTGATCATAGCTATCCTAGTGGTTGTCAAATAGCATCTCATTGTAGTTTTGATTTGCATTTCCCTAATGACTAATGATACTGAAGATCCTTTGATGTGCTGATGGTCTGTATATTTTCTTTTGGAAAAGTGTCTACTCAAATCCATATTTAAATTGGGCTATTTGCTTTTTTTTTATTGTTGAGCTTTAAGAGTTCTTGTATATTCTAGAAACTAAACTCTTATCAAATATGTGATTTGCAAAATATTTCTCTCAATCTCTCATTTTGTGGGTTGTCTTTTCACTTTTTTTAATAGTGTCCTTTGCAGCAAAAAGTTTTTATTTACCTCTTTTCTTTCTTTTTTTTTTTACTTGTACTTTTGGTGCCATATCTGAGAAATTGTCTAATTGAAGATCACAAATATTTACACCTATGTTTTTTCCTAAGAGTTTTATAGTTTTAACTTTTACATCTAGGTCTGTCTTAGGCTGGGTTCTCTAGAGAAGCAAACCAGTAAAACATATAAATACATATAGCAAGAGATTTATATTAAGGAAATGCCTCACGTGGTTGTAGAGGCTGCAGCATCCCAAGTCCATGGGTCAGGCTGGAAGCTTCTGATTCATGTAGCCGCAGGGGCTGGTGAACTCAAGACTAGCAAGTCAGGCAGCAGGGCTCTGGCTCACAGGCTGCAAAGACTGACGAATTCCAAGATCAGGCAAGACAGCAGGTAAGCTGCTAACTCAAGTCCCAAGAACTGGATGTCACATGAACAGGAGCCAGCTGCAGGATCCAGAGCGAGCAAAAGCCCACGAGACTTGCCAGAAAGTCTACCTATATTGGATGCAGGCCACACACCCAAGGCACCTCCCTTTCAACTGATTGGCTACTCACGGCAGATCCCATCATGGAGGTGATCATGTTATATCAAATCTCTTTGTGGAAGTGATCACATCATCATATGACTGCCAAACTACATCATTACTGCCAAACCACTGAGAGTCATGGCCCAGCCAAGTTAACACAGCCTTAACGATCACAGGTCTTTGATCCATTTTGAGTTAATAATTTGTATATGTTGTGAGGTAGAGGCTGAATGTCATTCTTTTGCATATGGATATCGAGTTGTACGAACACTATTAGTTGAAAAGGCTATTCTTTCCCCATTGAGTTTTCTTGGTATAGGTCTAGAATTTTACCATAAAGTCATTCCTCCTTTTCTGCTGTTACAGCCTGAGATATTCTCTTGTTTTTCATTTATTAATGTGAGTTAGTATGTTTATCATGATTCAGTGTAATATGTTGATAGCCATTTTCAGAGTTGATGTTATTGTTTTAGTTGCTTTCAGATTGGAGCTAACAAATCCTACTTTTTAGCTACCTCATTTTCCCTTATGCAACTAGTGTTGAACTGATGTAGAACATAATTTCTTCTTTGGCAAAGCCTGAATCTTAGGCTTGGTTGGGTCATTATCATGATCCAAATGGGTAATTTAAACCCACCATACTTAGTTCAATATTTAATAATATTACTATTTAATAATAAATCATAGTTTTTACACATGTAAGTTTTTGTTTAATAAATCTTCATATAGTGTTTTTGCTTTGTGAGAAGTGGTTGTAATCGTAATGAAGAGAATGTTCTTTAGAAATATAGTTTCATTGTTAGAGCTAAGGCTTTAATATCAGACTAATTGAGTTTCAGTGCTGCTCTACCACTAGTAGCAGTACGTCTTGGGTGAGTCACTTAACATTTAAAGTAAAGATAATAAGGTTGTTGTAAATGAAATAATTTGTGTAAAATCTTGTAAATTCTGATCCATATTTAGAGCTTACTATGTGTTACCTATTATTATAAATATTACTGTTAAATTATTATATTCCATTGTCATAGTTGATTAAAACTTTTAAGCCTGAATCATGACAAGTTTTTGGACACAGAAAAATATAAGAAAACTTCTAGTGAGGAGAGTGATATACTTCAGCACTTAGAACAAGACTTTGAGAGATGAAGGGAGAATGAAGTTTGAGAATAGCTAATTATCAATCAATCAGCCTTAGTTATTACATGTTCCATTTCTTGGAGTAAGACATCATTTAATTATAGCTGTTTTCGTGTTACCCACTTTTATGGGGACCACCTCATCTTCCTTTCCTCTGCCAAAAGTGAAAGTTGGTGGATCTTCTTTCTTTTTGAAGGGGCTGTTATTCTTTGGGAGCCATAGTGGCTCAGTGGTTAAGTGCTCAGCTGTTAAGAGGTCAGCAGTTCAAACAAACACACCAGCCGCTGCGAGGGAGAAAGATGTGACAGTCTGTTTCTGTAAACA